TTCATCTTTCCTACAGGTGATACCAAATCTCTTGCAGAAAACCGCAGAGGATGGAGCTGCCCAATGTTCCACTTGGAATAGGAGGACCCAAGTCTAAGTCTAAGAAAGTAACTTAGTGCATTACAAAATACTGGAGAAAATGCAAATCTCCTGAATTCGGACAGAGGTTGTTACATGACGTTCCCAAGCGCATGCAAAGGTCTCCGTCACATACCGTAGTGAAGTTAACTCCTGCTGTGCGAGATCCTTTAGAATTCGCCGACAGGTTTGGGACGAATCGGCAGGCTCGAGGAAGGCACATATTGGCCACGGTAGCTTATCGCGCGCACTCGGGACATTTTGAAGCACAAAGAATGTGCCGACTGTGTGCCCAGTAAGCTGGCGCATTTAGGAGGATTCGGGTAGATTCATTAGAAATGAGACAGACCTTTCAAGTAGCTTTGCACTAGATTTCAGAACAGAAACATATGTCACTTAGCGCTATTGTTGGGAAACATTCTTCACATTTTTTGAATACACCAACTAGGTGAAATTGCCTATTCATTTGTTAGATTACGTAATAAGCCTTTGCATTTCGGCCACGTTGCTGTGCTCAACGGCGCCCACCTAGTCCAAATCATTTCTGTATTGAGGGATTTCACATTAGCGCCATCTGTGCATATCTGTTATTTTGTTTTATTGGCGCTTTCAGCAACTCAGTCTATTTGCGCCAATAACTGCACGTTTATTCATACACTTTATTAATCAGCATCACATTACGGAGTTAGGAAGAAGGTCCAATTTTAGAGGCAGGAGGAAACCGGAGTACCCGGAGAAAACCTGCGAGAGCGAGTATAGACTGAAAACCAAATGCACTTAAAGCCTGGGCCAAGCCGGGACTCGAACCCTGGGCCTCATTGGTGCAAAGTGAGGAAAGAACCGCTACGCTAACACGCTCCCCCCTACGCATATCTGAATCTCTGTGTTGAACTTCCTCGCGCCCGCGGAGTCCACACAGTACATGGGGTATCCGGTTCGCAAGTGTGACGCCATTTCAGTTTAAACCACGCCCACTGCGCAAAATACACGACCATCGCAGGTACGATAGTTCGCGGTCAATTGTCGTTATTTTTCTTTGGATTTTACGTGTCGAGTCATCCTGAAGGACTCTTCCACCAAAATTTTCAGCCTGAAAAGTCTGAATTTAACATACCTTTATGTATTTTGTGTCTTAACTCCTTACTTTCAATCGTCTGACCATATTAAGAATTGAAGCTGACACATACAGCCTCGTTTTCAAACGCGGAAATGCGCAGATGGACGCTAAAAGCGTCGTATTGGGATCCCTCTATTATGTTCTTCAAAATGTGAGTTCTGGAATAATAAATTATTTAGACCTGAGTGCAGTTCTCGTCGAATTTATTTTTTAGTGTTTCTTTCTCAGGATCCCGGAACCTTCATGTGAATGACACAACAAATGGTGGAGGATCCGGGTCTCACTCTCGCAAGCATGGACCAGGGCATTGTCGACGGACAACAAAGAAGGACCTGCTACCCTTTGCCTTATTTACGTAAGTAAAAAATTGTAAATAAGTGACGCCGACAATAAATAATGTATGATTTTCATGGCTGGCAATGGACTGTATGATTTACTTTTTGTATATATTTTTGTATTATGATATGGTATTTTGATATGACTGAAGGAGATTTGGATAAGAAAAAAAGTGACGACCAAGTATGATTTGTCAACCGTTAAATAAAATACACAGGCTCCGCAGAGGAAGATTTAGATTCTTTCGCAGACAACTTTAAAGAAATTGCTGTGTTACGAGATTATACAGATTCCAAGAAAGTTTTAGCTTTCCAGACACCAATAAATGGTCACGCAAGAGTATTGTTGGAATCTATTCTAACATGGAGCTATTAAACACAAGGAAGTCAGCACATACAGAGATCAAAAGGGTCAATGATGGCCATCGCCAGCACTGCACGTGCTGCAAGGACAAAACAAATTCCGCGCCGCTTGTGGGCTGCAAGGAACGCTCGGAGTTGCATTTGCAAAGGATCGTGGGTACCGCGCATGCGTGTCCGTAACACTTCGCATGTTCAACATAGCCGCCTTGCGACGGAAACCCTCGTCATCGGAGACTTCAATTTCGATAATTGTAGTGGTTGTTCTGATATTCCAATGACAATGAAAGTCTGGTTACGCCTTTAAATCCCCAAAACGTCTCTTTTAACAATAAACAGAATTTCTAACTAATACAAATTCTCAAAAAAATACGCACAAGAAAACTGAGAGAATGTAGCTGGTCCAGAGAAAAATAAAAAACACACAAAGACATGGGAAGATTCGTTGTCCTTTCTGTCATTGTCGACAACTGCCTCGGTATGAAACCTCACCACGTTGTCAAATGCATTCCTGCAGCATGTTTCCACCTTCTTTTAACTGTAGGAACCACTAAGATTGCGACTAATGATATAAATGTCGTAGTTCATATTTTGGGTATTTGTTCTCTACCGCCAGAAACGCAAAATGTCATAACTGACTTTAAAAACGTCCGACTTTTGCCAAATAACCACCGTTGATATGTAATTTTCGAGCGCATCTGCGGGGATCACTCGCTGACTCATGAGGACTACTGAAGAGAACTGCGCATCTTCTTCGTGCATCTTTTCCTTCATTTATTTACTGCAGTATGCCGCAGCGAAACATGGCGAGTCTGCGGGTTACCGGCTACTTGGCGGTGGCGATCACTGTGTACAAAGAATGTCTAGGGTCTTCAACACTGGAGCTGGTAACCGTGCTTTGTCTATGGAGCCGACAGGAGCAGCTAATCGGATTACAGTCCGTAGGGACTTCGTTCCAACTCCTTGTGTTTGATAGCTCCATGATGCCAACAAGTGAGAAAGATACTACTGGGAAAATTCACTGTATGTTGAAAAACCATTCTGAAGGCGATTCATGGCGTTGGGGTGGGGAATCAAAACTGCTAGCACGTAAACCACTTGTCACAGAATCCCTCCACGATTATGCATGTGACATAATGCATTTGTGAAAGCAGATTAAGAAGACAGAGTCAGAACAATTGTCATTGTTCGTACGTGGCCTAATTCCATTGTCTTTTCTAAAGAATCAAAAACATTCCGTGAGGCATTCAATGCAGCTCGCTTAGCTGTTTCAATACAACAAACGGCAAAAGAACCCGAATCAAGCAATGTGTACACTGTCAATTCTAGGACGCTGGAATCAAAATTCGATGTTCTTGCTAGCATTGTTAAAAGATTCGACGGCTAAGGTAGAAAATCTTAAACTTAGTGCAAGTTGCAGAAATACTACAGCTGAATATGCCAATCAGACAAATACATTACAGCCATTCAGTTTGTTTATCGTTCGACACCAGCAGATAATCCAGTTGGGCTTTATGGTAGAGAAGCGCGGTTACCGCTGGATGTCACACTCCTACCCAGTTGTAATTATCAGGAGAAGTCATTAAGGGACCACGTACATCATTTAGTTTCGAAGTTACAGGTATTTCTAGAAGTCTCAAAACATCATACTGAAGAAAATCAAGCAATAGTAACGAAAAGACAGTGCGATGCTTCTGCAACAGAGGTAGACTATCAGATCGGTGATCTAGTATGGATTTCCATTCCAAACTTCCAAAAGGTCTTATCAAAGGATTAATGAAGTCATAGTCAGGACCGTATCTCTTGTTTCGAAGAACAGGCTCTGTTAATTTTCGGGTGGAAAACTTGGAGAAGAACAAAATGTTTACTTCACCAATTCATATAAATCGTATAAAGTTTGCCTGTGACAGATTTGTACGCCCAAATAATGAAAGTGTCCCCACTGCTGCACTGATCGTGAGCAGCATTTTCATGCCTATGACAGATTTGTATACGCCCAAATAATGAAAGTGCCCCTACTGATCGTGCGCAACATTTTCCAGTAAAAGATTGGGTACAGGAGGACTGCCCTGAAGATTTGTTTGTACCATTGAAAGCTAAACATGAGTGTGAGACACAAACCGAAATTGTTCCGGGTATAACCCATGATAATTCAGAGCGTACTGAATTTAAAGTAGAAAACATTCTCAAAGGGAGATTTAAAAATAATCAACTTCAGTATCTGATTAAATGGCAAAATGTCCAAGTAAATACATGTACACATGTATAACTCGTAGGAACCGGCACAAACTCTGAATGCCGCATGCCTTGATTATCCTGTTCGCAGTATTGGTAAAAAGAAACGTGAAGAGTTTGAATCAAAAGTCCAGTGTATTACTGTGTATAACCAAATATTGGTATATATATTGAAAATGGACGTATGTTGTGAAGATAATTACAAGTAAATCTTTTTTAAATTCATGCAGTATGTTGCCGGCGTCACTAAGAAGTATTATAAAATAAAATAGAGGTCTGAATAATAAGTTTTATATTTTTAAGTAATTAATTGACCAGCTCTGATTTCAAGCCAGCATCTGGAGGAAACAAGGTCGGTTGAAAGACTGAGACAAGGAGTGATGTGTAAGCCGCCTTGGGAGTTATGGCTAGACTCTACCTCCAGACGAATCTTTGCGCACGGATTCTGCTGCGTAAACTACAGAGTGACGTCAAACTGGACAAAATCAATGAAATTTATTTTAAATTAGTTTTTTTGTAACGTCTTTATCAACTGGCAGGCGCCAATGTGGGTCGTAGGTTGTAAAACATTCTTCACGTTTGTTGAATACACCAGCTAGGTGGAATTAGATGGAATTAGATTACGTAATAATGCCTTTATATTTCGGAACCGTCAACGGCGCCCACCTAATACGATTTATTTCTGTATTATGTTCTTCAAAATGTGAGTTCTGGAGTTAATAAATTATTTAGCCCGAGTACAGTTCTCGTCAAATTTCTTCTTTGGTGTTGTTTTCTCGTGATCTCGGAACCTTGGTGTGAATGACACAACAAAATCATACGCAGAAATCGACGTCGCTGCCCAAAATACACGTAGTCATAGAAGGCATCAACCATTCCAGTAGGCCTACATTTTACTTTTAAGACACAGATTCAAAACAAAACAAAAACCACCTTGCATTCATGAACAACGCATATCCGGGAAAACCATTTGAAAAAGCTAAAACACTTTCCTGACCAGAAACAAGCTGACCACACCACGTGGAGCTCATCTTTAGGAAATCGTCTAAAAATGATTCCGATTACCACCGAGACGGACTGTGTAATCAACACAAAACAGAAAACCTATTACAGGGGTGGATCCAGGATTTTTTTTTGAGTGTCAGGAAATTTTCGTTCGTAGGAGGGTAGTACATTGTCGCCTTTGGTTCAACCATTTATTCCTTTTATTTGTCCATAACCGCACTCACAAAATAAGACCCCACCATGTGGTTTATGCTTTCAAGGGGGTCTTCCAACCTATGCACGTAGACGCCTCCCCCTGGAGTGGAGTGAGGTCAGACCCTCTTCGGGATCCGCGTCTGTATTACTAGCCAAGAACAATGCTTCTTCTATGATCAAATTTCCAACAATCTTCATTGTTCTATTTCAAGCTAAGGATGCGGTTTTCTTTTATACAAAAATATTTGAACTGTTCAAAACTCTGCTAAGAAGTTAGAACCATTGGTTATAATAAGTAATGACACCGTTTGAAAATAGAAACAATGTCAATTATACTGAGACAAATACAGCTACAAAAATCAACCTGCGGTTGCAACATGCATGAACAACCTGCGCAAATTCTGGCTGAAATTGATAAAAAAAATCGGCATGCAACTATGGTGTGTTAAAACGTTGACCCGAACACAATTATAATGGCGCTACGAGTTAACCTTTCTCCGAGTACCAACCCTGCGCCTTGGGAAAAGGGAACGTATATTCACGTGGAGATGTTATGCATGGCCGAATCACAGACCTGAAGAGAATTAGTCACATTGATCGAAACTCCCATTTTCGCCTCCGACTTAATTTCATTTGAGGACAGTTCTCCAGGGAAAATATGATTGGATAATTGACAGAAAGCTAAAATCTGCCCCACACGAAATATCCGCATCGACATGACAAACAAAACGCATCCAATAACAATATATTATCACTATTCTGGCTTGTTTTTTACCTTGGAAACCCACCCTCAAATCAATCTAGAGGTACTTTTTGTCATAAACAGTGACTGCAAAATATTAGTTTGAGTTTGATTCTCTTACTGGAGAAGATCGCATAGGCGTACCCCATAGCACTCATTACCGAATCCCTCTTCCAAATGACTATAAAACGCTTTGTTTTAAAGAGCCAATCGTGGCTCAATGGATCAATGTACAGGTGCCCAAGAACGAAGCAAAGACTGGGCACATTGCACCAACTGCGAACCAGCTATTTCAAGCACTCATACCGTAATTATCAAAAAGCCATGTACTAAAATGAGGATGAGTTTGGGGCTCTTCCCCTGTGGACTTTATTCATGAGATGGCCATTTTGGGTCTTGCTCCACGAATCCACACTATTTATTCAACACTGCAAATTGGGAAGAAGGCTGACTGTTTTGCTATAATTGCAAATAAAACTTCACTTCGAAGCATTTTTTTGTTCGGACAATAAAGACGACATGAACTGTTATCCATCATTGGGAATTACCCGTCAAAACACAAGGATGCCAATCAATCATTACCCTTCTCAAACACATATTATGTGTTTACAAACTTTTACAGGGCAGGTTCGGATCGGGAGGGGGAAGTCAACTAGCACCCTGATCATTGCTAGTATTATTTATTTTTTTTAGCAGCCTCAGTCTAAAGGTTGCAAGCCCCCCCCCCAAGAAGCATAAACCCTGTAGGTGTCCTATTCGCCTATTCAAAGAATAAATGGGCTTCAAAAATGGCAACATGTACGGTAACCCCCAACCCCCCTTGCAAAAAAAATGTGAAATCCCCTCCCCCCTAGCAAAAAATCCTAGAACCTATTCGGTTAAAGATGGCTGACTCGTGATGAGTATTGACTGACCAACCTGAGTACGTAAACCGGGTACTGTGTACAATCTGATTTCGTCAGGTTGGTACCCTCAGAACTGTCTTGGAGACAACCATGAATGTGATTCAATGAAACAAGCTTAGTGGAGCTAGAGGCCTTACCCAATACTGGATGCTAAGTACCCAATGAACCCAGTGCCCCAGACTGGGTGCTACATGTCAGTCCCAACTGACTTACTCGGGCATTAGCGTTGCACTATGTATCTTCACAGGGACTAAGTACTGACTGGGTGCTATGTACCGGTTGGCTGGATCAGATACTGCGGTTGTACTCTGGCTACCTTCCGGAACTCCTTACAGTGGGTCTTGGGGCACACCATCTCAGACCAACTGATGGGAACCATATTGACACCTGAATGATAATGTGACAAACGGTAAAGAGACAAAGCGTTGGGAGCTTATAGCAAGGAATGAAATTCTAACATGGGAAACAGACCTTATGTAAAAACAGTCACCCTAATGCCAAATGGTACTTCAAATACCTAGAACACTAGACTGTATGTAGAATGTGCACAGATCCTGAGATGTTTTGTCTACACATGTAAATAGAAATTTGTGTGTTGGAAATGAGCTACAGAAAAGAGAATTTAACCCACTAACATTTCCAAACATTTAAACAAAGATAACAAAAACTCTGAGAATACTACTTAACAAAGCACACACATTACCAGACTACATCAATCGCATTCTACAACCACCTCACACAAAGCTTTCACAAAGTCTCCAAACAAAAATTTAACAGTTGATGAAGCAACCGTTTTCTTTTGTCGCCAACAAAATGGTTATTTGCAGACTCAATAACAAGAAAGTGAAGGTTTTTGATGATTTTTTCGATCATAGAACGTCAAAACAAATTCCTGTCCGCCCACTCTGCCAATTGTTGAGAAGTGACTCCGGAAACTGTTCATTCGTCCTAGACCGGACTGCCTGCAACACTGTAACACCTGCCGACCGCAGCAGCTGTTCACATAACTGCCCAGCGATCCGCGGTCCGGTAATTTTAATGACTTCAGCCTGTCAACTTGGTGTATTAACGTTTAACAGCCGATCAGCCTGGAATTTGCCATGGTCTTTTCCCCCATTTTGCTTAGGGTGACCAGCTACATATAAAGATCAATTTATCTTTTTTCTGCTTCCATGCTATGTGACAACCACAATATAATTTATAATTCTTATGGAAGTTGCCGTATCGCTGAATTTCTTTCATAGCTGACAACCGAAGTACAAACAAACTTTTTCTACTGAGTTACTAATTTGCAAATGATAAAACACTGTACATGTACATGTACGTATTTAAGAGCACCTTTTCGTCTACTAAAAATTCATCATGATACTAGATATTAGGAATTTGTTTTTTAAAGAAACAGTAAAATCCCTCTTTGTAGGCCTTTTCCACTGTAAGGAATACTTGACTTGTAAGGTCTCAAAATCAATATGTTTCCTTAGCTACAATTTGAAAACTCGTCGTGTGCCAGGAAAAAGATCGTAGGGGGAAAAATGGGTCAAAAGGTCAAATTTAGGGGTTTTTTTGGAAATTGCCAGAGCATTGAAATATCTTTCTTTCGGTATACATGTGTTTTCAAGGGGCTACGTCATTCTGACATAATTAACAGAATGAAAAGTACAAGAGGTGGTTTTTTCATTACTTTTGTCCGGAATAAGGACGTTGCTATGTATACTAATGTAACAAAATGTGCGCTAGCGTCCCACTAAAGTGAAGACGTAGTCAAAGTCTATTCCCGGCAAAACGTTGTTAGGATTTTAATATGCTGCTTTAGTGCACATTTTAGGCAGGAGGAGTCCCCTGCAAATGGTCGTTGGCATTAAATGTAAATTACTGTTAAAAATCATGGCTTTTTATCAATAAAAAATATTAAATCTTATTTTTAACATCAACAAAACCTTATCCCTCTAAAATTCAGACTTGTGTGATATATTAATCATACAAATAGGAGCCCAAAAATTTTGAAATCGATTATCTTAAAATTGTCAAAAATTAACATTTGCGTGCCTGGACTGCTAACGTCTTTCTCCTATGCAGGCGATGGAATAATGTTTAACATAATAATTACATCTTCTGTGGTCACTTGGCTCTATTGGGACACGGACTTCTCTATTTAAATGTCACATGCCCTACCTGTTTCAAACTTTAATTAAAGTATGGACAATTTGTGATGTTACCTGTGATTACACTCATGTTGATGCCCTCTATCAGTGTCTGAGGGTTACTGCATGTACATTAGAGACAGTAGGGTGGCCATATTGAACTTTTTGCTGCATGTATGTCACAAACATAAACTACATTGTTAATGTCACTTGATACAACTGTGACTGATGTGATTGCATGTTTTTCTGGTATCGATTTCTTGGTTACCTTTTAGACATAGTTTCAATGAACGGTTCTTTGAAGGTGCCATGGGACAACGTTGAGACTTTTTCTTGATTTGACCTCGACAAATTAAAGAAACAAATGGCACGCTATGCAAGAAAGACATGTAACTGTTGAAGACCTCTAAAAGACAATTCAGATCACATAAATGTGGAGAGTGTGTACCTTTGCTACGTTTGCAATAATTAGAAAGTCAAAGTGTCAAGTGGAAAACATCAAGGGGTCTTCGCCTCCTAAGCAAACCTCTAATTCAAATTACCTGCTTCGCTCTGTGCCAGGACTACCCCTAGCTCATTCTCTGCGGTGGATAAAAGGTACCACTGGGCATCTCCCAAAGACAGCTGCATGAAGTGTGTGTTAAGAACTTGTCTCTACCGAATAAAGGTCTGGTCAGACTGTCAAGTTGCTACGGCAACTGTTTCTATATCTTTGCTCAGGAGAGGCCTAATTTGGTGATGAATCAGAGATGCTACTACTAGTCAGGTTCTTGTGAAAAGCCAGACTACAAGACCTGAAAAGCATACATACCTAGTACCTACATACATGTACATACCTAGTACCTACATACATACCTCCTTGAGGGCTGAAATTAGTCCATTATTTTGAATGAAAAAGGCTAAAATCAGGCTTTTGCCTGAAAATTGATATCCCTGCAAACTCTGTTTCTTCAACCCAAGAGTCATTGGCTCACAGCATATGTGCTTACCAGCAAATCAGAGTTGTCACGTGGCCAATGACGGGTCAATCCTAAATTAAAGCACATGTCGGGTCACAAGTGTGGACACCAGTCGAATCACAAGTAACAGAGGCTGACAATAACATAAGATAACAGTGCCAAGGAAACAGAATAAATCCATTTAAAAAGGTAATGCTATTGCTGGTCATTTGCAGTGGCCCCCGCCAATGGTGGTAAGCATTGTGATAACTATTGATTGGAGCACCTGTTCCACGACAGTCGCTTTGTACAACAACCAGTACAGTTATTTCCACCATTAAGAGGGGCCATTGGAAATGTCAAGTGAAAAGTCGCTGGATTGCTATAAAAACTGCTGACATGAAAGCATCCATGCTGGTGTTGTTACGCGTGTCTCCGCAAAAATTATGACCAAAATTGGGATCTCGTGACTTTCTTGTAATGGGAAATGAATTGAAACCCTTCAAGAAAATAAACAAGGCATACCAATTATAGGCCTCTTACGGGTGAAAACAAACATAGTCGTAAGGAAAATGTTAAGCCGTACAGCCCTCCTCAATTATTGTCCTTTGGGAAAAAAAGGATACAATTCTGGCGAGAACCACGTCACCAGGCCGAAAGGATTTATAGACCTCAACTTTGTCTTTCTCTGTGGCTCTGATGTCTTCTCTTCTTATCATTCCTCGAAAACTCTGGGTGAGGGGTGTGCCTTCCACACTCAGGATGGCACAACGACAAAATCGAGGATTGACATTGAGAACCTGAACACAAAATAACATGACAGATCTCCATGCAAGACCTCCTAAAAACTGTAGCGGTCCATTTTTGTACACCCTGAGATGTCATTTACATTACACAGAATCTTATCAGATTTGACACGATTGAGTGATGGTATAGATTAGAGAGTAAATGATCTCAAACAGTTTGTGAGGATTAACTGCTTTCAAACTAAAGAGGGCAGCATTTTGTTCACTATGAAGAAATTAAAGGGCAAGAAAAAGTTGTCTATTGACAAAAGAGGGCAGTGTTGACAATGAATGGAATTGACAGTTTGGTCGAGTTCGGGCGGCCTGTTCTTGACATGGGTTTCTTGTTCTTGCACTCGAATGGCGGGAACACGACTCAAGAACACTGTTCTCGGAACAGGATCACACACCACCTGCTCGTCAGGGTTTTACAGGAACACACAGGAAAAACTCGTGAGATTTAGATTTTTGAACAGCTGCAAAAAGTAGAGAGATGGCTCACAAAGTAATAGACAGTGGGAAGTTTTGCAAAATTAACATTAATTATTTTCCGTAACACAGAAATGAATGTTCCTGTTTATATAGAAAAGAATTCAGCCCATCCAAACATTAACTCTCAAATAACGTAGGCTACATGGATGACGCCATGTTGCATGTTGCTTGTCACTAACTACCAGCGATAACCGGTTGTTTGTTCCCGGCGTTCGAGCGGCCGACTCACAAACAACAAATCAAGCTGTTCGTGAACATACAGGAACAAGCCACCCGAACTTAGCCTTTAATTTGAAGCAATCTAAAGAAATATGCCTGGTACAGAAAAGCAAACAATAGAGGCAGGTCATGGATCCTTTACATTTTGGACACTGATTCAACACGTAGCAGGCACCTGTCTATGGGATACAGAGACTGACCACAGTAAGAGGAATACATGTAAATCAAATGACTGATTAAGTTGAGAAGTGGAAAAGGTAGTTTTCTCCTCCATGTTTGTATTTAAAAAATTGTAGAGGTGGAGCTGACTCCCAAAGGATTCCATCGATGCCCTTAACCACCACAAATTTAAAGAGTTAATTTCAAGTTTAAGGTACTCTCCAAGGCCTCCAAGAGGAGCATTCAAGAGGACAACTACCAAGTACAGTGTACCAAGGTAGCCAATTTTCTTTTACCCGAGACAAAGGCTGAATTTTCTGGGCTGTCTTGCCTCAGTGTCTAAAGGAAAAAGGCTTTCACCCATCTAACAAGTTTTGAAACTGGCATTATTTGGGTACATAACCTGTGAGAGACAAATGAAAAGGTGCACACTTTCAAATTGAAAATAAAAGGAGACACTTTAACATAACAGACCATGCGGGGAAAGTGGAAGATGACATGAGCAAGATACTACTTTATTATTGAACTTGGGCCATTTTCCAATACTCAACTTCATCTCCATCTCAGGCTTTGTCCCCAAACCGATCCCCGATTGTGGGCCTGAAGCGTTTAAATTACATCGGATTACTGTAATTTTTGGCTCTCTTGCATCTTATTTGATGTTCTGTGGCACTATTAGACCAATTGCTGGCTTACAGCTTCAAAGTCAGCTATCAAAAAACTGTTGAAGCCTGAGACGGAGCCGAAGTTGAGTGTTGGAAAACGGCCTTGGCATCACCTTCACTGTGACAACTGAGCCAACCTCCGGGACGACAGTTTGCTGGTCTTCAAGTAAAACTTGTAATTCGGGCAACTACAAAGAGGATAACGGGAGGTATTTTTCTTAATTATAGGGACCACTCGTGAGTGGTATAATGGTTATTAACGGGTCAAAAACATTGTGAAGACATCCAAAAGTGAACATTTTTGGTGAAGACATTAGAAAGTGAACTTCTGTTTAAAAAATTTCAAATTAGATATTTTTTCTGCAGCACAGTCCCGGGTTGGGAACACCCACACAGAATTTGTAGTATCATACATGGCATCCTCACTAATCAAAATATATTATATTGGTCAAACTTTATCCCAAATTCCATGAAACTGATATCAGATAATGCAGTACTACAATGATGGCAATTGTGATAATGGCAATGATGACGGTATGCTGACAACTGTGACAGCAGGAATGATAACCAGACAACAAAGACAGTAATCAAAACAAAATGACGAGGCTGTTGTTTACCATTTAGTGACATATCATTTAAGCATGGTAGTGCCAAACAAAGGATTAAATTCTGACACATTTTCAAACAAATTGGTGATTTCCATCTCTTTTCATTTAAGCTTTCTTTTTCTGTACTGCCTCCCTTCATTTTGTTTCTTTTGCCTTATTATTTTCCCATTTATTCTGGGGTGGGGCGGGGGGAAGAAGGAAAAGCCCTCCTTGGCCTTGAGATGCTCATGCCAGAGCTGTTTGTAGAGAGAGAGCCGTGACATGAATGTCTCAATTGTTGGAACCAAAATGGTGGATTATACGTCAGTGCACATGGAACATTACTACACAATAGCTGCATGTTGTACTGCAGTAATGAACAGCCATGTTGGTTCCCAAGTCTGAAGTTGGCACTACTCTCTCAATATACAGCTCTGGCCCATGCACTCAAGTAATGAAAAAAAAACCAACATTTACTCACTTCTTCACCATGCTTGGACTCGTGACGGAAGCCAGCGAGACTTGAGTAGATGTAACCCTGCCTGGTGTAAGTCCCCTTCCCTGCCTGATAATCTTCAGTACTGCCAAGTCGTTGACCTTCATATCAAGCACAAAAACAGTGAGTGGGAATATGGCAAGTTTTTAGTACAAGTCCTGTTTCAAGGAGCAGAGGAAAGAATATTGCTTGGGAAGTTTTGTATTTATAAGATGAATCTGCTGGAATTCTGTTCTGTGTTTGCTTTACGAATATGAATGCTAGACATTGATGGAGATCTCATACATGTACATGTACTAGGCCTAAGCTATGACACTGTCAGAGTGCAACGAACTCGAAAAAGTACATTTGACTGAAATTAGCACATTTGATGGTTACGCTTACCCCAAGTTGCCCAGAAAATGTCTCTTTTTTTCTGATTATCAAAGGTAAATTATATTTACCCCTTAATTTGGATGATTTGCCTTATGAATGTTTGCTCCACTGACCTGGTGAGTCATAATTTGACTCATGTACTTTGACAAGGGGGGAACATATTCAGTAATATTCATATGGCCCGACAAAATGCCTAAAAACATCCATCATGACCACTTGGAGCAAATCTCCCATATCACCAACCTATGGCACTGAATATTTCCAGCTAATGTGCCTAACCGTATAGTCACCAGGTCCCTTATGTTGCCATTTACATGTACTGTGAAAACCAATCAGACTTGACAATACATGTACATGTAGGTGGTGAAATTAGGGACCTCACGACTATCACATACTTAAGTGCCTAACAGACCAGTGAGTGGAGGCGACAATACGGTCACACACGTTAGTGCTTCACGGACAAATGAGCGGAAGCTGGAAGGGCAAGGGAAGCCATTCCTCCTAGGGCCTCATCTATGAAATCTGAGCACTGTAATATGTTCAAATACAAACACAATTTTAACATGTCATAGGCCCACATGTACGTCTAGACTAGACTGGAGTTAGGTATATGAAATAGTGGCTCATAGAGGGTGCCCTATTTGGTCATTTTCAGTGCGTCGCCTCTTTGAATCAGTCTGACAATGATGCTTTCAGATTATCACCCATTGCTAGAGTATGGTGAGGATATGTGAAACTAGACTTTTACCGATAACTAGTGATTGCTGGAGAAACCAACAGCACTCTTGTTTTTGAAAGATGTTTTGAAACTGGTTGGATTATCGTCTAAAAATTGTGCCTGTGGATTTTATCGAGAGTTTACCTGAAGAAAGGATAGGCCTAGCATACGAATAAAATGCTATAATTCATAAGCTACATTTTATTATCAATCTACACTCGTGGAATTTTTTGTTGAAAATCATCGAATTGCACAAACTTTTGTACACTCGGCCAAAAAGTGATTGCCGCCATTGTACAGCACAAATTGCATGGTACGCATCATGAAGCAACTTTTAGTGGAATTTTGTCGCACAGTGTGCTTTCAATATAGACAACATCAGTTGGAAATCGTATCCAAAACTGCATTTTAAAGAGCACCTCTGAGGAAAACATGTTTTTTTGTGTGATTTAATCTGTTCAAATAAATATGTAAGCATCCAGATCGAATGCAGTGTCATTAATTTTCAAAAATTTCAGAGCTCAACTAGGCTAGTAGTAGGCCTAGGCCTAGAGGGCCTACAGTACAGTACATGATGTACTATTACTTTTTATTAGTATTACTTAGTATTACTAACACAGTAACAGACACCAAATCCAAAACTCTGGTTGGAGCTTTTCTGCTAACACTTCTATTTTAGCATGTCTTCCCATAGTCAGTGAAGTCATTATAACATGTATCAACAACCGGTCATTCTAATTTCCGTCAACACACTGTCATAAAATCCTTAGCAATAAATAACAAGCGCGTGTCTTACCTGGAATACATATCGAGGAGGCCGCCATCTTTTAATTGCACGGCCTCTTGATGGCGCTCTTGCTGAATCGCTGAAAAAATCACCTTGCTCAGGTCTGAAGGTAGCTGCCTGCCTCAGGCTCTTTGCAAAATGACCTACAAGTTGGGGTTTTTGGTGACAGAAATACCCCGAGTTGAAAGCCACAAACCCTAAATTCATGATTTATAGAAATGTCTCTATGACCCCTTTCTATGATAGCACCTCTTACGAGTCATTTCATGTAAATACCAGATAAAAAAATTTTTTTTTCATACTTTGATGAAAGGACTTGAGATGCAAGGAAACAAAATGCACAAATATTTCACAAATCCACTTATATCACTTTAAAGTATCATCCTTCCCTCTGCTTGAGACAAAGGATATCGTCTCAAGTGTCTCCCCTAGGTTCTTTTTACAGCTTGCATTAAAGTATGTTTTTATAACTTGCCAAATTGCTCCTCAAAACGTCAACTTGCCTAGGGATCTCCGAATATTTTCCTTTTGGCTGTGATGAGGGCCAACATTTGGTCTTTTCATGTGAGGTGAGAAAATCTTGGGCAATTGTATCCTGCTGTGACAGTATTGCCTCAGATATGGTCATTTTTCACAAAACAGGTAATTGCATTTTGGGGGTTTTCCTCAGTTTGCAATCAAAAATACAAAATGAAATTCAAAGGCACGCTTTTGTGATTCTGGTACTGTTTTTATGTCTTTTGAGTAATGGATACATAAAAAAAATCTAGTATCCCTCCGAGCCCTAGCCCATGATTTGCCCTATTGACGTCTTGGGTTATTGTTACCACGGGATTTTTGTACTGGTACATGTACATAAATGACTCCTATTGGAAGAGCAGGGTTTACGACTCATCCCCGACGGTAGCCTTCCCACAGTCTCTTTGTCGCCTGCCTGCGCTGCCACCCAATGACACAATCCACCGGCAAAGAAGAAACCAAATTGTTCGCACAAATCTCTTGGAAACGTTTTATAGTGGTCAAAAAACATCTTGGGCTTAGCCCTAAACCCTTAGATGTTTCACTGGCCGAAACCTTTCTGTCAGCAAATGCCACATTGAGGCAAAATATCATTGGAGTTGCAGTGGTGGAAATAGACAATCAGAGTGGAAATATTTGATGATGGTTTCCGGTGATCATTCTCTCAGATAAACCAAGTTGTGAATAGTCAGATATGAATAAAAATTAGAGGTTTTACATGTATGCCTGTTGTATCAGAACAAAGGGCTTTTCTGCATTTTCCTATTTAAGAAAAAGCGTATTTGTTCATTTTTTATTTATGAATACATGTATTTCAATTTCACACTTTTCTCTTTAAAACATACTCCAGAGCTAATACATCAGTAAAGAAAAAACCCAACTTACTTCCAAAAAGTTATAGGAATCAATTTTGAAATCTAAAAGGAGAATCTTGCAACTTCTTTAGGAACGGAATGGCCCAGAATCAAGCCCTGCAACCCAGCATCCTAACCACTAGACCACAAACTAAACAAATCTCGTCACTAAAACTACACCATATTGATTAGATTGTTGAAGAAGTGTAAGCATTGACAGCCTCTTTTAATTTTGCTCCATAAGCTGATATATTGCATTTTTATTGCAAATCTTATGTATTAACGATCATGGCAAAACATATTCATTATTTTGAAGCTGAGACTGTAATTTCCCTGATCTGATGAGTTCACAGATATTGAATGAACTGGACAATCCATTCCTTCTGTACCTTCGTGATGTGCATTTCTTTTGCAACAATACCAGGGTCACTTTTTTGCCCAAATAGAGCTTCAACTCTGTTTCTGAAGCTCCATCACAGAAAATTTGAAGAGGCCCATCACAACCGGGGGCGGGGACATGTGAGACATAACACAGAAAAAGTGGGAAACAACAAAGTGAAAGTACCCAACATGATGCTATGCCTATATCAGAGCTGTTTCCATTTCACGAAGAAGGCAGCATCAATTCTAGAAGACGCTGAGTTACTTGAATCACCATCTGTTATAAAGTAATGACATAAGATTGTTTGAGAAGCACACACTTCATGACAAGTTGCAGGTTGGGACAGGAGTTACCCGATGTACGGAAGCAAATGTAATCCCAGACAAAGAACAAGCCCTGCCTGCAGATTGGGCTATACAGAAACGTCAACAGTCAAAATATTTCAACGAAAAACAAAATGGTTTCCTAGATGAAATGTTCAACCTTGGTGAAGTGGTCAAAATGTGACCCTGCTGTTGTTGCAGGACAGTACACATCAATAAAAACACACAAAGAAACAGATCTCACGTTATTTTAGCCAAATTGAATCAACAATAGACGATTCTGGTGTCAGTGATTGACAGTGCAAACTTCAAACAGGCCTTAATCAAACAGATGATCAATAAAAGTTAACAAGCTCCAGCTCCAGATGTTTTAGTGCATTCGGTTCTGACTCCTTGCCCGCTCAGTTGGGCTGTACGCTCGCAGCAAATTTTACCTGCACTGGTTGCACAATAGCCGACGTGCTACGGTAACCGTACTGGCGTAACACGGGGGGGGGCCTTAAGAGTTTGTCTTCCCACACCCCCCACAGATTTTAGTATTAAATACCATTATCTACACAAGTGCATTTGTTTTAATCCCCGATATTTTATAAAAGTGCCCTTTTCAAATAATCGCCCTTTTTACCTCAAATCCTTTGTTACAAGTGTCCTTTGCCTAAAATAGTTGTCCTTTCCCTAAAACTTCCACTTTTCACGAACGACCGAAATGTTTGTACAAGGCCCCTAAATAATGTCACATGATTAGGCCGATGTGCATTCAAAGTCAGAAATTGCCGTTGATCTCTATAGGGCCTGAAAGTAAAAGGTCACGCCGCAAGCTTCAGGAACCCTCGCGCAGCCCGCCTGGCGTTTCCATGGGACTACCCTATCACGTTGTATAAATTTTGGAAGAATAACCCTTGATTTAAACCACCCCAAGAAACACAATGTCGAAATTGTATCTTTATTTTTCAAGTTGTGTTGTCGAAAAGTCCAGGCATTATCGCTTCTTTTGTCCATGAGCATTTGCTTTTCACTCATGTACTTACGTGAAAATGAGAATGCCAGGTAATAATGCTTAACGTTGTGAAGATTCACCTACCTACAGTCGGTGGGTTAGAACTAGCCCAATGAAGTTCTTGCTTACACAGGTTTGACAAGACTTCAGAATTTTTCGAGAATGCAGACTATTCCTTGAAGATTATTTCGCTTCTTTCTTCAACGAATTATGATAAATTGATGAAGCTAGTTTGGTCATGGTCTTTTTTTTTGTGGTCTAAGTTTTTCTCTATTGGTGATTTATTGTTGTGTAAGTACATAGCAATAAGCAAGCAATCAACCCTTTGTAAGAAACATTTTAATTGAGTAAATTCTGGGTTCACAATCTGAACAGGAAAATGCGCACTGAATCATGTCTGCCCTCGATGACATCACAGCAACAGCGCCCCCAGTTGTCCAGGAGAGCATAATTAATTTTAAATGTTTAAAAAGTGCTATTAACGGGAATGTCAATGAGTATTCACACATTAATAGAGTAGTGTTATGTGGCAGAAAAATCATGTCTGAGAAAAATTCATAGCAACTACACTTTAATATGCTAGTAAAAGAACTTTTTCAGGAGTACTTTTTTTTAATTAAAGAAGTACATAGACGAAAAGAAGTGCGAATTCTAAATTTGTTCCTAGTGTACGGCTACGAATGCGTGTCCCTAGGTGTCGACCTTCAGGCTCTTGTACTAAGGAGGATAGTAGGTGGCGATCGCTGCTCACACGCTGGTTGTCACGTTAGGTGTGAACACAACGGACGACATTGTGGTTCATCCCTCCCAAGTCGTCTGCAGATATATACGTTGTATATTGTATTTGAATTTCACCGTGTTCACGGTACGACCACTCTGGATACTTGTAACCATGGAAATTTGGGGAAGTGGATGAACAGTGCTCTGTAATTAGTCTCTTCATACGATGAAAAAATGGCAGGGCCAAGTTGATGTGGTCCACTAAATTTGTCCATTTTCTTATTTTATAAAATTCTACGTTTTCATATTATAGTCCTCATTTTAAATCTTTGAAGTGGTTTTGAATTTCGGAACCAGTGGCAACATCCAAAGTTCGTAATTTATTTATTTCATTCATTATTTCTAATTTTCAAAAAGCAATGCTAATGGTTGCATAAAAGCCGTACTTCGTGCTACATTATGACGGTGTGCGGCGTTCTCATGCTTTGTTTGCCTCACACGTGTACACCTGCGGCTTTTGGGCAGAACAACATGATGCACTTGCGGCATCGCTCAATGCCAGGCGACCTTCTTATGGTGATCTGAAGTCAAAAAATAGCCTCGTGACGTGCCATCGCCTCGCCGCCATGATGCGACGCTGCGACTTCTCTGTCGCTCTCCTACCGTCCCTTCGTGCCTTCGACCTGTTGCTTTGTGCTGTCGACCCGTTTTGTCGTGTTATTCAGTTGTCGCGTCGTACCACCTTGTCGACCTGTCGCGTTGTGCCTTCGCATCGTGCTATCGCTGTTGCCATTTCGTGATCACATCTAGAAGGCCCTATACACGCACATCATTTTTTCCCAGAACTTGTGACATACACCCTCTATTGGCCTTGATAATCACCTGTCATTTCTTAGAAACAGTAAGGAACGGCGGCATTATACGACGGACGACGACACGACACAACAGCACAACACGACGCTACAACTGCACGACGCGACGCCACGACGGCACCACGCAATGCATTAAACAAGCATAAAAGTAGTGAGAAAGGGGGCTACGTCACGACGTGATGACACGACGCAACGGAGCTGTCGCAGCGTCGCGTCCCGGAGTTGGGACGTCGGCACGGCGGCAACGTAATTTTGTCGTCTATCCGGTTCATAAGTGTGACGTCACTTCAGTTTAAACCACGCCCACTGCACATACACTGCATATAGAATTACGTGCATTGATCGCCATTATTTTATTTTACATGGAACCACGGAACCGAAAGTTAA